AATGTCTGTTTGCTCCAAGAGGGAAGTTCCTTAAGGAACGTAGACGATAACGATTATTATAATTTTACTATACACAAACATTATCTGACATAAAGTATATTAAATTACTTCGCCATTAAATTTTGCACGTAGTTGTATTAAATTTGAATTTAGCAAACACGAAACAATGAAATGAAATGTAATATATTTATGACAATATATTTATTTTGCATTATATATATATTTATAAAATCATAATTTATTCTATTAATTGACTAAGATTTATTGTTTTTATGTTTCACAAATGTTCTAACATTATTTTTACGAATTCTCCTATTTGAAAAATATTTTATTCACAGATTCTCACTTCAGATATTAACAAAAATTATGAAAATTTGACAATATAATGGATCGGGAAAAAAGTCCTTTTACATATGTAAAAGGACTTTTTTCCTGACCCATTATAAAGGATATCTTAATATATAATAAATTATTTTTTACTGCTCGAATTCACCATGAAGATAAATTCAAAATTTATTTAAAATACATTTATATACACTCACACGCAAAAAAGTGGGCCACTAAATTTTACCAAATATTTTTAATATCTTTAAATAGCGATAATTCAGCGAAGAATCATCTTATCCAGATGAACCACATCTCAAATTAAAGCTTAAACATTCCCCTTGATAATTGTGCAGATTAAATTTGAATTACACAAAATGATAACAAATACACACGCACGCACGCGCGCGCGCGGAATCAGATACCTGCCATGTCCACATCATTGATCCTGGGTGACGCCGAGAACAGAATACACGCATACATTGTACATGTACGCACTTACACGAAATTAAGGAGAATTAAAATTTGAAATTCACATCTTAATTTCCTTTTGGTAAAGTTTCCTATAATAATTTGTTTCTAAGTTATATTGAGTTTACAAGAAAAAGTCTGTTTTGCAACACTTTCTTTAGAACGCTATAACTTTGTCCAAAAAAATCGTAGCAAAAATTGATGCAAATATGGATTTATTTGGAAATCAATGATCTCAAAGACTCATACATTTTTGTGCCTGGCAGCCAATTCCTCTGAGCCACGCATAGTTTAAATAAGATTTTTTTTTTCCTGTCGTTCTATGTCTTTAACGTTTGCCATTTTGCAATACATTTTGTATAATTCAAATTTAATCTGCATGATTGTTAAAAGGAATACTCGAGCTTTAATTTGAGATGTGGTTCATCTCGAAACGATGATTTTTCATTGAGTTATCCCTATTTAAAAATATTAAAAATATTTGTTAAAATTTAGTGGTCCACTTTTTTGCGTGTGAGTGTATTCATGGCTAACGGTACGAAATAAGTGAAAATTCCGCAGCATTAAGAGATTATATATAGCTGTACATATAGATCCTCGAAATATATTTTTCCTGAGTACGCGAAAGGAAGATATAAATTTTACCAAACGGCCAAAGATATATACGCTGTCTTGGAAGCAAGGTGTCGCACACGCGTTTTATGGCGTGTAATTTCAATAACGACGAGTGTATTATCGTGTTGAAATATATATCACAGTAAATCTGTGTTCCGTATATCGATTCGCATATCACTTTTGCGTGCAGGAAATACTGCTGAGAATTTATCTAAGAATATTAGTTTTCTTAAATCATTATTATATACAATAGAATATTATTTTATTGCGTTATATTAATTCAGTTAATATCACGGGATTGCTTTTAATCACTTAATGATTAAAAATAATTAATGCCTTGTAATTAAGAAAAAAGATGTATACTTTTTCTTTCGTGCGCGACATCAATTTTAATATTCAATTTTCTGATCGACAAAACTGATTTACTGCGACAGAATGTCGAATTCTTGAAGAGAGAAAATTGTAGAGAAGTCTCAAATTATATAAATTGTGAGAGAGGAGAGAGAGAGAGAGGTTTTATATTTAATAAAATAAAAAACTCTTCTAAAAGGAGAAATGCTGACAGGAAATTAAAAAAGTATATTAGAATTTTTACTACCATAAGGATGGCTCGGAACCACCGAATGTGACATTCGAAATATCCATCCTTCGACAAATTTGGAACTTTTTCTCTTTGTTCGACGTTGATTTCGATATTAAATTTTCCAGTGTAACGACAAAACTGATTTATTGCGACGGGACGTCGATATCGATTCCTCGAGGGAGAAAATCTCGCATGGCGCGAGTTGCAAACGCGCACGCGGCGCGGAAATTGTGCGACTTTTCTTCTTGAGATCGGGTGCGAAGGGACATCCCCGAGATGGGAATTTTCGAATATATTTTCATCTCGCTGTAAACTCATACCGCGCGCGCGGAGAAGCCTGTCGGAAACCTGCTTCGCTAGTCGTGCCCGGGGAAAACGCGGATATGAAATTTGAACTGCGGAATTTCGATTGGCTCTATCGACGCGTTCTTCGCAAATTAGCTTACTCGTAGGTGGGGAGTGGAAAGGGGGACACAGAATTCAAATTTAATCGTACGGCAGCCTTTGCAGTTCCAAACAGGGTTTGCCTACACGGGGAAGTGGCATTATTAGCTTTCGAATCGAACCAATCAAGTCGCTTCCTTATTAAGCCCTGCAGGGTTCCTCTCTCCCTTGTCCTGCTTGTCTCGATTTGCCGTCATAGAAACGAATCTCTGAAATGTCTTTCGTCTTTCCCCATACAATTCTCCTTTTTTTGTGCGATTGTTATACCTGTTTTTGATGTTTGATTTTTTATGTATCGGCCGATTTTGGATCAAACTATTAAAAATGCCAAAAAAATTTCGACTTTTTCGATCTAAATTCGAAATGAATATCGTTATTATATTTATATATATTTTCCCAGTGTTCTTCTGACGAACATTTATTCTTTATATGAAATAAAATATTGTTACGTTCTAGACTTCCATCAATTAGTATAAATGTACATTTCCTTATTATTTATTTTATTACAAGTATTGGAAATATTATTCTCGTTTTATTAAATAATGAATAAAATAATAAGAATACTAATGATATGATAATAAACTATAATCAAACTTATATATTTATATATGTATATGTAATATGCGTTAATATATTGATGTACATATCAAAGTCTTCGTGTTTCCTTTAGGATAAGTCAATTATCCTAAAAGATACTTTGATGCGGTTCGGTGGTCAATGAAATATTCTTATCTCGTCTTCCCGTTTTAGTAATGAAGAATTCCCAAAAGAAAAAAACAAGGAAGAACGAGAGAGAGAGAGAGAGAGAGAGAGAGAGAGAGAGAGAGAGAGAGAGAGAGAGAGAGAGATGTGTATGTGTGTGTAAGAGCGTAACACAATTAAAAAGGGTTCTCCGGGTCGGTTTCTTGCTTGTCTCGGCAATTTCGCCCGGACGTGGAGAGGAAGTATTCGGTCATTGCGGATAGACGCGATCAATAGCAATTTTAATTGCTAATTAAGCACGGCGCTAGTTAGATGGATATGTGTTTCGTATTTAATCCTGCGATAAGACGATAAGGTGATAGGGGTTGCAAGCTATACAAGGCTTACCCGTTCGTGGTTGAGTCAAAAACATCGTTGTAGTCCTCGTCCGTACTGTAGTCCTGCACGTCAGTATCCGAATCCTCGACATCGCCATTTCCACCTATAAGAAAATAATTTTCGTTAATTCTGTACCTAGTTATATCATTATATCTAGGTATATTATGTGTATCTGTTTCTGTATCTATTTCTGTATTGTCTTAATTTAACAAGGAAAAAAGATATGTAGTATATCTATATATCATGTCAGAGTATCAAAATTTAATGCTAAGCTTTTAATGCTAAGATAATAATTTTATATAAGAATCAAGCCAAAGTTTTATATTAATAAATAACCAAATTTCAGTTTATTTTCTTAAATCACGCAGAGAGAACAATTTTGCAGAAGTATTCAAAAATTTAGCTAGATACAGATCTGAAAATAATTTTGTTAGACCATCAAAATAGGTAGGACACTCAAACTGATTACCAGAATTGCAAAAAGTTTTGACATTCTAGCAATCAATTTGAACGTCTAATCTAAAAATTTTGATGGTTTAACAAAATTATTTTCAAATCTGTATCTAGCTAAATTTTTTGATACTTCAGCGAAATTGTTCTCTTCGTACACGTTTTGAAATTATGTCGCAAAATACGGTAGTCTAATTTAATAGAGAAAAACAAATCTTTTGAGATTTTGTAATTTTTCACTTGCCAATGTTCAATTTCAGTGACCACGGCTATTGAATGAAGTTTTGCATTTTCTTGTACTAATAGAACGGCAATTAACGTTCTTATGGTAAGATTATACAGTTTCTTGCGAAGTTCATCGTGAAACGAACCATTGTCGATTCAATATTGATGTTAAATCGAGAGTGGATCAAACTCAGTTGGAGGATTAAATTAATTCTCGTGCACATTTCCGGTCAATTTGATTTCAATAGAACTTAATTACCAGTTACGATAATCAAATATTATCCGAACACTGTTATTTTATGAAATATTGGAAAGAATATGGAATTAACTTTTACGTATCATTATTTAATATAATCATTATATTATTTTTTCAACTATTTTCAGCTATTTTGACTGTAGCAATTGAGAATTAATTAATTAAATAAATTAAACAAAAAGATAATTCTACATTTTATTGCGACACACGTGCTTTAATCAAAATTATTCTTGGCTAACAATTTTTTTCTCTGAGAACATTAGTAGCGTTTCCACTCTTTACCATCGTTTTTATATCAACCTAACAATTTTTTTCAGTATTCATGTCCACAGGAGATTCGAAAGAGTTAACGCGTTGAATTCCCGACATTCCGCCGATTAAATTACAACCAGTACAACGGATATATTCGCCGAAGTCGGAGGGGTAATCTCCATGCACACAATCATAACTTACTCGCACGTCTTCCGGATCCTAGTAGGTAATATATTTGGCTAGACGGTGCCGTCAACAAACGATACCGTCGGTCGGCGGTGCCGCGAGATTAATTTGTGAATCGTGATTAAGGTCGGCACGTTCCTGAGGTTGTTAGCGCGGTAATGAGTAATCCACCGACGAAAGAGGTTTAATATGGAATCCCATTCTGTGGGACGGTACACATGACGTTATTCAGCATGTTATAATTGAAGAGCTGACGCAAATAATATTAAGATTATCATATTTATAAGCATCATATTTTCTAAAAATCATTTGAACGCAATAAAAATGTGTAAATGATAAATATAGAAATATTAGGGTACAAAACAAGAATCAAATCTTCTTTCGTTTCTTTCGTTTTATAAATAAAATTTTACTGTAGTTTTACAATTTATAAAGTAAATTGATATTATTTCGCTTCGCGATGTGCAATATAAAGTATTATTTAATAAATTTTCTGCAGAATAAGACTTTTATAATTAATACTTTTAATTATTATTCAAATTATACACGTACACTGAGAGAAAAATGTCTTGTATTTGTAACTATAATTATATATTACTATAATTATGGTTATTACTGCTATAATAATAATAATAGCAGTAACTATGTATATCTAGCAACAAATACATATAGTTGGCAACCTGAAATGACTATATAATTATAGTTATCATAACGATAAAATAGTTGAAATTATCATAAAAATGATTCAAGTGACTATAACTTTTATGGTAATTTCAACTATTTTATGGTTATAATAACTATAATTATATAGTCATTTTAGGTTGAGATAAAATAGTTGAAATTACCATAAAAATGATTCAAGTGACTATAACTTTTATGATAATTTCTACTATTTTATGGTTTTAATAACTATAATTATATAGTCATTTTAGGTTGCCAATTATATACATTTGTTGCTAGAGCTGTATACATAGTTATTGTTATTATTATTATAGCAGTAATAATCATAAGCATAGTAATATGTAATTATAGTTAGAAATACCAAATATTTTTCTCAGTGTACATGCATAAAAGTATCTTGTGCTTCTTATTTAGGCGACGTACCGTAACGTGGTTTCGAAAGAGAGCAATTTTGTCGATGTTATGTCATAATTCCATTCATAAAAGTTGGCAACATCCAAGCGCACGTCGTGCCGTCTCGTAGTATGCTGTACGTGTAAAGTTTTTGGCTTGGCTTGCAACCGTAGCCAAGCTATTAAATAATCGAGTAAATTATCCACTCTTTCAATATCTCCCACAACGTCAGCTGAGCGGATGCCAAGAACAAATTTAAACTTTTCCCCGCTCCCTCACGGAGCATCGCCTTTCGATCCATTGACTAACTTGATTTATCCGCTACACACATTAAACGTTGATAGCTTAAAAATGTTGTAACTGAAAATATTAAATTTCTCAGTGTAGCGCGAGAAGGTTCTATACCTACTTTTCTTTAATGGAAAAGATTTTATTTTTTAAAACATTGAACGTTAAGGAGGTTGTAAGGAGAATGCAATATGTTAAGAATTGCTTGAAATTTGGAACATAGCTTTATCTACAAAGCATGCTTTTATGTAAATTTTTTCAGATTTTTTGACTAGCGCATTTTTCTGTAAATTAATAACAAAATTCTGGATTTTATAATAGACTATCTCTCTTTCTCTTATAGGAGACTCGATTCTATGTATCTGTTTTCAATAAATATTAATATTTGAAATGTTAAGAATCGAATAAATTTATGTTTAATATATAAAGTATAGCATATTAAAAATATATTTGAAGATTAAAACAACTTTTACCACTCAGTTTATTAACAATAGTAAAAAATATAACCAAAGATGTGATACTTCTGCCATTAAAACTGTTTGATGGAGAAAATGTGATAACGTTGTTTCATCATCGCGAATCAAGAATATTCTATCAGTTGAGTAGTGCCGTCAAAGTCTCACTACAAATGCTTCTAAGCATTTGATTTACTAAT